GTGTAGGTACTACCATTTACTGAGAGTAGATGTTGAGCAAGAACTTAAACATCTGTGCCTCCGTTTTCTGCTGTGTGTGTGAAATGGGAATAATACTGATTTCATATATCACTGTGGGGATTAGGTAAAATAATGTATGTAAAGCACCCCAGAAGAAGGACTGGCATACAGCAAGCACTCGATGAAGAGTTATCTTCATCATCCCACACCTTGCCTGCCTCCTGCTTTCTTCAGACCTAATTCTCCAACTCCGTGCTTCAAGAGAACAGAGAGAGAGTTGAGACCCCAGTGTGGTAATAACCATTTTAATTCATCTGGGCACAGTGTGTTCCAGACCTATGGTCTTTCCAAGTTGGGGCTGAGCCCTGGGTACACCAAAGCATACAGAGGGGAAGGGGCAGTGGCTGGACCAGACTCCAGAAAGCCCAACTCAGCATCTTTGCAGCAGATAAATCTATCACCTTGTGCATACCGGGAGCTCAGTATTTGCAGATGAGCATTTTCTGTGAGGGTGGATGGCTGGGGTGGTCATCCAGATCAGCCTGTGCCCACTCCCCAGGCCTACACACTCTTCAATCCTGAGTCAGGCGCTCATCATCAGGCAGGGGCTTCACCTTCTGTGCCCCCTATTAGAACTGGTAAGCTTTCACTAGCTTGCTCGCTCTCGTTACCATCACCTTCAGTCTCATTCTCACTAATAGGCAAAATGGTGTATGATTCGCAAACTTTAGAATCACCTGAGATTTTACAATCTGCTCAGGCTCAATCCCAAGCCAATTAAATCAGAATCTTTGAGAATAGGACCCACACATCAAAAATGATTCTAGTGCACAGCAAGTTTGAGAATGAGTGTCCTAGAGTAGTGTTTCTCAAGCTTTAATGTGCACACAGGTCACCTGAAAAGTTAGTTAAGATGCACATTCTGATTCAGTAGGTCTCGGGCAGAGCCTAAGATTCTGTGTTTCTAACAAGCTCCCAGATAATTCTGATACTGCTAGTCCACAGATCAAACTTTGAATGGCAAAGTTGTGGACAAGGTTCTCAAATTTGAGCATGTATCAGAATCATCTGAAGAGCTTGTTAAAATATACCCCAGTTTCAGATTCAGTAAACCTGGAGTATGGCCCAATTATGTGCATTTTTAACAAGCTCCCAGGTGATGGATGCTGCTGGGACACAGAGCACACTCTGAGCAGCAGGGGTGTAGAGGATGCAACACAGGTTTTAGAGTCAGGCAGCCCTGGGCCCCCTTTTCTGGGTTCATGTCGTTTTAGCTCTGTGATCTTGGATAAGCTACTTGACCTCTTTGAACTGTCATTTCATCATCTGTAAAGTAGCCGTTATAGGGTAAGCTCAATTGCGCTAATATGAAACACCTAACAGACTGCCTAGTGCACTGGTCCTCAAACTTGATTGCAAATTTGAATTACCCGGGAAGCTTCAAAAAAAAAATCAGTTGTTGATTTACTCACTCTAGGGTACTGAGCATCAGGATTTGGGGGGGGGGGG